TTCATTAGTTCCCAAGTAATTTTTTGAAAAAAAATCTGCTGACCTTTTAGGGTTCTGGATCACTAAACATGTCAATGTTAACCAAAGAAATAATGTTCTAGTAGAAAGGAGTTATTTATTTAAAATAAAGGCTGAGTTGATTCTATTTCACATGTTCTTATAAGTGGGCTATAGAGTATTTATTTTATGGAAATTTAACAAAAGAATTCTGGGAGTTAAAGAAAAGTTGTGGATCAAGAAGGGATATTAGGAATATTATTTATATTCTCCATGTTATCCCATTCCTCCTAGAATATGAAGTAGCCAGCTTAGTGTCCCCTAATTTTTAGAGGCTTTCATTCCTCTACCAAGGAGTGTTGTAGTTATGTCATGGAGAGAGAAGGTACAAAATGGTACATTGAAGGGTTGGAAGTGTTGCTCAAGTGGTAGAGCACCTGAATACCAAATGTGAGACCTTGAGTTCAAACCCAAGTATTGAAAAAAAATCAAACCACTACGGAAATGTACAAATAATAATTAGGGGAAGAAGTGATTTGGAAAATAGTTCCCATGGAGGAAAATTGGAGGAATGGTGAGTCTTACCTCAAAAGGGATAGGGGTCTTCATAATTTTTCTTCCAATGAGGTTGGTAAGCTTTTATGGTAGACAAGAGACATAATTATATGTAGCTACATAATATATAGAGAAAAAACTTCACACCATTTTATTGGTGAAATTAAATATATAGTAATAGAGTACAATATTTTTAAATGTTGGCCTACCAATTAAAAGGGTGGAATTCTTTGGAGGGGCATTTTTCCTATTGGGGTTGTAGGCTAGTGTTCCCTATTATCAAATTGACTGCAAATATCTGTTTCTGAAAACCATTCTTTGTTCATGGTTTATTCAAAAAGAGATGCTGGGCTACATTTTGTTTATGAGCTGCAGTTCTCTGACCTCTTGTTTAGAGTCCTTTGACAACACTGGAAACCAGTTATTCTTAACAGCTATCAGGAATTGCATCAGAGAAAATGAATATGAAAGCCAGTGTTAAGAATTAATGTTCTATATGGAAAGCCATAGAGGGATTATAGGGAATTAACTAACATTTATGATCTTCGAATTTAGATTAAAAAGAAGTCTAAAAATCTGTATACTACATGCTGTATCCAGACAACATTTATGTTTTTCTAGGTGATGACTTCAAACACACCAGTTTTTTTAAAATTACTATTATTGTTGTGCTGGGGATACATTGTGACATTTACAAAAGGTCTTATAATACTTCATAGCTGAATTCACCCCCTCCATCATTCTCCTTTATTTCCCCTCCCCTCATTCCTGGAACAGTTTCAACAGGTCTCATTTTTCCATTTTCATACATGAGTACATATTTCCACCATATTCACCCTCCTACACCTTTTCCTTATACCTTCCCCCTTCTTACTGGTACCGACCCCCCAGACAGGACCTGTTTTGCCTTCCTGCTCTCTGTTTTTGTAAAAAAAAAAAGACATTTTTGTTTAAGATACATTGTGAGATGGAATTCCATGTATATAAAACATGCCAGTTTTTATGTTTTATTCTTCCACAATGTAGGTTTTAAACTCAATTTTGTTAATATGCAAAATAAACTTCACCCATAAATAAGGTCATATCTAAAAATAAACAGCCTGTTCTCAGTTAAGATCGACCAAGTTCTATGAAAGAAGCACTATACTGACTGGGGAGATCAGGCTGTGCCCTGTTCCATAGTTACTCCGAATTGTATAGAATGGTAGCTTTCAGACTGTGTCTTGCCCTGAGTGATTCCGTTTTTATAGAACAACAGTGTGCTTCATTTTGAGTGCAAATATTGAGGCTGAATGACTCTACAATCTTGTTTTTTGCAAGTAAACAACAACCATCTGTCCAGCACAAACTACGATGCAGACTGATAAATAACTATTTACCCAAACAAAAGATTATCACCTATGAACTTATCAAATTAAATCAGGAGCATATGGACATATGGATCTATCAAACCTATATCAAGAAAACCAGGCCCTGAACTTATCAAACGTACCAGCCAAAGGAATGATGCAACCCCTCATCTGAATCACATAAAAAGAGAAGCCCCTAACTCCGGGTACAGTGGCGCCCACTCAGACCATCCAGTGCATGCATCAGGAATGGTCAGGTGACAAGTTATCCACTCTGTCCCCACGGCCTCATTCAGCTCACCACAATCCCCTGCTTGCTGTGACCAATTCAAATTGCCATCCCTCTGGATCCAGTGAGCTTGAAACCAGCTATGCACCTTGAACCAGCTCTGCTGGTTTTGACACAATACACTACCTTAATTTTTTCAATTTTTTAATTTGTTTTGCTGTAAATAAGACTCCTTTACAAGGCACCACAATTCATTGTAGGTTAGGTTTTATTGCAGACTAACATTACCTTCTACAGGGATGTACATTCAATGCTAACTAATGTTTACATTACCCAAAAGAAAAAAAAAATCACTGTTTCTGGTTATCCTTCTAGAAGGAAGTCTTCAACTTTGATTACGATAAGCCCAAATCAATTGTGTTAGCATTTTACAAGTAACTTTGAATGTCACAACTATTATATTTATTGTCAGGAAGGAAAGCGCAGCAAATACAAGCAGTACTTCTATTTAACACTTCCAATCAAGGTAGAAACAATTTTAAAAAGAAACTTAATTTTATCAGAACATTTAAAATACACTTGCATTTTTTCCCTGAGTCTTAACATTGTCTAGTTTGAATAGAATATAATATCTTTTCCTGTCCTTAAATGCATGAAGTTTATAAGGTACTTTCTTTGTAAAGAGGCTAAGACTTTTCTTATGTAATGTCTACTAATTCTTTATGATCTACCCCAGATTTCCTCCAGGAAAGTTCTCTCAACAGCCCCATCCCTCAATTCAGGGCACTGCTTCCTTGGGACTCCCAAACACCATATACATATTACTATTGTTACATTGCTACATAGGTTTATTTATAAATCTGTTTTTAGGACCATCTACCAAATTAGACTTTGAGCAACATTAAAGTAGGGATTGCATCTTACTCACTATCGGGCTATCTCTGGTTCCTGATGCAGTACCAAACATAAAGGAGAAGTTCATTATATGCTTAATAAATTAAGAGGTAAATGAATGGACACAGGGAGAGGCCACTTGACAGGTATGAAGGTTCCATTTTCACCTGTAATGGATTATTAAACCTTTTCCTTCCCCACTTTTTCCAAGTCTATCATTGTGACTAAGATGTAATTCTGGACGTAGGATAAAGAAGAGGCCAGAAAAGAATGAAGGATGAAGAACAAGAATGAACGAACTAAGAAGAAAATAGGATGAGGCTTCCAGGTTGCTAGAGAACCCCAATTAAGAATGACAGTGTGTGCACTTTATAATGTTGGCTGTACGGTTGATAATCACTGTTAAATCTTCTCCTTTGTCCTCCCCATTCCTTTCTTCTTTCATTCCTTTCCTTCCTTCTTTTTGCTTGTTTTTTTCCATTATAATTTCCTTACCATTTTGTAGTATTTTTGGAAATTCCCAGTTCTCCTGAAAGGAGTCTGAGAAAGGTTCTGCTTGGCAAAGCTTCAAAGGGAACAAAACTCTCATCGCCTTCTCAGTTTGGAGTCACTGGGTGGTAAAAAGTGGTAAGAATGTGGGTCATCTCATCACTTTTCACTTCTGAAAATATGGATACCCTTCCTTTTGTTTTTAGTATGGGTGATGGGGTTAAGAGGAAAGGGGGAGATTATCTTCTGTAGGAGTGTTTTCCTTGTCCCCTAACACTAGCACTGCAAAGAACTCACTGGAGGCCCGGGCTATAGTTACAGCTGCAGCTTCTTTGCAACATCTGTAGTGCCTTTCTCTGCTCTTTTTTAGATTGGTTTATCTTCCTGTAAGGAGTCAAAACACGTACTTGATATTTGACCAATATGTTTTTTTTTCCTTCTCCTTCTTCCCCAATCTTTAGCCTCATGCTTAACCCTTGGGGCTGGAGAACAGGCTGTAGCTAAGCAGTTTGAGTAATAGATGATCACTGTCCATCCTCATGGATATACCCAGAAGCCTGTGGCTGGGTGGTCTGTCTAGGGCCCTGGGAAAAAAACCTGCTGAAGACCATGGCAGGGTAGACATGTGGAGATGGCTGGTCTGTGCTTTCACCAAGAGTCTAATTCCCATGCCAGTCATTCAAGAACTATGAGTACACACTCAGGAGAACATTATGGCTTTTGTTTTTTAAAAATTCATTCAACACGAATTAGAAAATGAGAATAGTTATTAATTTTTAATAGCAGTCAGTTTTCAAAAAAAGAGAATAGGTTTATACAGATGAACTATGAAGCAATAAATTTCTGAGAGAAAATGGATGTGGTAATATGGGAGCAGCACTGACCCAGCAGGGAGTACAAAACTGCTCACATGATTAGCAAAATAGCCTGCTCATATATTTTAAATTTGGGGTGCAAATTGAAGCAAGTTCCTATGTTTTTTTAAGCAGTGTCGCTTCTGTCACTCGTCTGAGGTCAGAACATGTAGTTAATACTCTGATTATTTTGGCTAATTTTGTAGGTTCACAAAGAAGCTTCTAAGTTTTCCAGGAGGTGGTAAACATTTTCCTATACTTATAAAGAAATGCACATATAAAGAGGGTCTCATGTTTGATGTTTTGCAAAGTTTTTGGAAACTACATTGATGGAATTCCATGCATCACACCAAGGGTAGGGAAAAGAGGTAAAACATCTATCCAGATTTATGGCATTCCAAAGTCAGGATTATACACCCATCCATCTCCATGCTTCGGTGGTTAAGAATAATTTAGGTCTCAGAACTAGCAACAGTCTTTGTACCATTTGTATATCATAATAGTCCTTTTATTGTTGGGTAAACATATTTTTAAATCAATCCTTGTAATAAAACTTTGCTTTAATAAACTTAGTAATAAATGTAAACTATAGGATTCATGAAGGCAATTAGCCCAAACAACTGGCATACTTACAATTGCATTTCTTCTGCACAAATCTCAGCTTGCATGCTGTTCTGTAGGTGGAGAGTCGGATGCTATCCAGATCTTGGGCCCCTAGTAGGGGGAGAAAGAGTACACATAGGGCATGCCAAGTGTGTGGAAAGGAATTTATAATGTTTGTAAATAAACAACTACAGATATGATCCATGCACTTGTCTTTTGTTAGAAAACAAATATTAATTTAAGACTTGAAAAGGTCTGTCCCAATTTCCTCAGGTCAAGTGAAAAAGAAAAAAACGTCTCCAAGATTGGAGATCAGATTGTCAACCATATTTGTTCATGGACCAAGGAACACAACCTCATCCTTGTTGTGTCTGCCACTTCTGGGAACAATCTGCTCAAGCTGTAACTTCGAGTGAACAGTTAGATGATATTAGATTAAGTTTAAATGAACTGCCATTGGTCATCAGAAAGTGGCTGTTAGGTGACCGCACATTGAGTATTAGACATCTTCTTTGTGTGACCTTCAGCCAATTGTTTTAGAAGCCTCAGTTTTCTCATTTGTAAGATGGGAATAATAATAATAGTACTTAGTTCACAGGATTGTTGTAAAGAGAAATGAGTGAATATAGCCAATGTACTTAGAACAATGCATGGTACACAGTGAGTGCTGTGTAAGTGTTCACTATTACTACTAATTTCTGTCTTGAAACCTCAGAGGAGACACCTTTCACAAAGAACTTGTACTCTGTCTTATTCTGTAGCTTCTATTTCCTTTCTAGCATAGAAAGAATATGTTTTCCATACTCTTGAACTACTTGCCTTATTCTACACTTCCACTGAAGGAATCCAGAATAGCTCCAGAGGCCCAGAACACCAGGCATGCAGACTCTGCTGAGAATCAAGTCCCTCCACAGATTCTTTCCATCATAAGATTCTTTCCAGCAGTATTGCCCACCAGTCTGCCTCAGAATCTCTTCTAGGCTTAGGCCGGTCTCCTCACAAGCCCCATTCTAGCAACAATGATCTCCCCAGAGTTCCTCTTAATGTCCTTTGATTAGGCTAGTATCTAGACTGTATAAAACTATTAGACTTCTAACAAATGTCTATTTTCCTCTGCTTTTAAATATTTGGCTTTTCTTAAGCCCACGTTTATGTTTCATAACAGATATAAAGTATGTAGCTATATTTTGACATTTATTGAGCTTTCTTTTCACCACCGGTTACACCAGTAAAATGTGCTATATAAATGCTTTAGAATAAAGTGGAGTAGGAAGTAAATGAGCTGCACTGGAGGAAATTATTGTTAGCTCAATGAAGTGCTTTCTCAATGAAATTCAGGATGAATTAGTGACGTTCAGGATGAATACATATACCTGCAATTCAAACTGATCTCTTTAGATTCACTTAAGAATATTGCCAATGGTTTTATGAAGTGGATCATTAAACATTTGTTCTTACGAAAGTATATTACTTGATAAACACACTCATTGATTCTTAGCACATGAAAGAATACAAGAGGTGGGTCCTACCAGACTCAACACAGGAATTCTCTTAAAAATGTTCTCAGGAACAAATCCATGATGTGTGTTCATGTTCAGCTGGGTATGAGGTGCATGTCTGTGACCTCAGTCACATGGGAAGGGGAGGTGCGGGGATTGCAGTTGGAATAAACCAAGCATGGCAAGCATGGTGGCTCACACCTCTAATCCCTGCTATGTGGGAGGTGGCGGTAGGAAGATCCAGGTCAGAGACCAGCCCCAGGCAAAAGCACGAGAGCCTATTTGAAATGTAAACTAAAGGGAAAAGGGCTGGGAGTGTGGCTCAATTGGTAGAGTGCCTTCCTAGAAAGTGCAAGGCCTTGAGTTCAAATCCTAGTACCACCAAAAAATGTTCTCAGGAGATAGATATTTTTAGCTAATGTAAGATTATTTTTAATGAGAGAGTAGATTATACTTTGGTGAAAATACATGGACTTTTAAGTCAGTAGTCCTCGATTCTGTCACTTCCTATCTGTGTGAACTTCAGTAAGCTTTTACTTGACAACCCAGTTTCCTCATGCATGAAATGAGGACTACAGTATCAATGTGAGCAGCTGACAACAGACATGCAGTCCTGACTTTTGCATCAGGTATATAGTGAGCACCTAACAGTAGACGGACCTCCTTAGAGGGCTTCTTGGACTATTTCTGATCAATAATGCATGAGAAATTCGCTTCCTACATATGAGCTTTATCAGCCTTCTTGTAACTTCCACCCACTTGCTGTAGTTTCCTCTCTGGAGCCGCGTCATATTTTATCCTTGACACTGGTAATTCATTTCTCAAATATTGGGTAGTCATCATTATTCATGTCCTCATTGTTCTCTGAAAATTATGGACAGAAGTCTTTGTCAGCATGGACTTTAAAAGTTCAGCTGGGGAGGAAGCTTTTCTTTGACTTTTTAAAGTTAAATCGCCCAGCTCCACAGCCGTTTTGATAGTCATTTAGATTTGTAAATATCTTACTCATTTACAAAATTCACTGAACGAATATCTACAGAATAAAGATGAAGCCTATAAACTTGGTGTCTGAACTCTTTGCCATGCTTGATGATTAACTGAATGTATGTACATATGTGTGTGTAGGTGTACATGGGTGTATGGGAGAATAGAAAGAGAGAGAGAGAGAGAAAGAGAGAGAGAGAGAGAGAGAGAGAGAGAGAGAGAGAGAGAGATTAGAATGGAGAGAAAAGAGTCAGGAGTTTGGGGTTGGGGATGATACTTAGATTTCTACTTTAGACAACTGAATGGTATGACATGTCTCTTGTGGAGCTGAGGAACAAAGAGGGAGGAACAACTTTACAGATAGGTGAGGATGAGAAATTCAGTTTTTCATGTAGAGAGCTTGAGTTGCTTGAGTGATGTCTAAAGGCAGTTGGATATATGGCTATGGAGTGTTTGACTAGAGCTGTAATACAGTCCAGAAATTATCTACAAACATACAAAATGTAGCCATATGTCTTGACTGGGTTAAGACTTGGAATATTTTTCCAAGAGAAGACTTTGTGCACAAATACACAATCTAAGTGGCAAATGAGGCCCAGAATTGAGAACAGGAACTTCCTTCCCACTTCTGAACAGTACCCAGCTATTTGACAGTTGTTCAAAACCATGTGCTTTGGAAATATTGAAAAGCTGTGTAATAAGTACTTTTGTTAAAAAGCATTGACTGCTTACTTGGGTCCATGCATTAAATAGAAGCAGGTATCTCTGTCTGAACTTCTGTACCTCTTTGAGCCACTCACCTTTCAGCCACCTTAGAATCCAGGAAGGCCAGGACTGATTGAGAATATCTTTATAAGGAGTGACAGAGGAAACTGCCCCCCACCCCAAAGGAACAGCAGCATTTCCACAGGACAGATCATCCTACCTTTTATCCCTGCCCTAATTATTTCCCTATTTAAGCCTGGGGCTCATGTCTGTACCCTGAAGATGCACTCAAGTGCTTTCTTCCCACAGCATGCTCATGCTACATCATTAACCTTTCTCTGCCCTTCATCATTACTGTCTCTTTATTTGGTGTGTAGGGGCAGGTGGCTCCCTCCCAAGCCAAAAAAGGGCATATAACATTCTTAATTTAAGTGGTTAAGTAGAAATTTTAAGATTTGTTGAAAGGCGGAATGTCTTTAGCAGAAGTTGGATAGGTATGGGAAAAACGAGTCAAACATCCATGCTACAGTATGGAACTCTATGCATCCCGTGTGAGCACATTATTTCCTCAATGGTGGTTTCCTTGAAATTATATAACTGCTGATACCAAGGCTCTACTGTACTTTCCAAGTCTCTATGGCAGTCTTTCCAGATAATAGTTTTCTTTTTAAGTTGACATATGTTAATTGTACAAAATAACAGACTTCACTATGATTTTTGTTTGTGTATATAATGAACTTTGAGCATATCCATGTCCCTATTATCCTCTCTTATTCTCATCACCCCACTCCTTGGTCACCTTTCTCTTCCCAAAGAGGCCCCTTCTACTTTCATGTCTTCTTCTTCTTCTTTTTGAAAATCTAGATTCTGCCCATGAGAGAGAAAACATGCAATGTTTGTCTTCAGAGTCTGTCTTGTTTCATTTAACATCCACTTTCCTGCAAATGATCTAATAGTTTATTTTTTTCCTTTGGTGTCCTGCTGATAGACCTGGAGTCACCCATATATTTTCCAACCATTTAACACGTTCTCAATAACATCATCTTTCTTTTTTGTATGATGGTATACCTGTTGAAACCAATTCTTCCCTCTGAATGAAGCCATTGTTTCATACAATAGAATCCTACTAGTGAGGATGTCTTAGTACTGATCTAAACATATTATTAAAGTCAGACATGCTTAGCCATCTTTGACCAACACCTGCATATTTAGCACATGAGAATTATACATAATTATTTGGCTTCCTTACTTATTCTGACTATCAATCAGGAGAACTTATACAACTATTTAATAAAATAGTATGACAGTCCTGTTTCCGTGAAAGGTAAAGTTACAATTTAGGAAATTCCTAAATTTCTAAGTCTCTCTCACTTCAAGAAAATTTTAGAGTTGTTTTATTTTTATGATTACAAAATTTATGTCTTGCTTTCTTTAAGTTGAGCAATTTTAATTCATCAGATTTTTATTTGCAACATTCATATTTGTGCCAGGCACTGCATCAGATGTAGGAGAAACTGGGCAACTAAATTCAGATAAGCAGTGACAAAATCATTAAATAAGGACACATATAACTTTTACAGTGTGCCAGCTGCTATAATCTTCAGTGTTACAAAAATAAGTTCATTGACTTCTGTAAGATTTCATTTTTTTATAATTAATTTTTAATTTTATAATTAGCATTCTTCTGTGTCTAACAGACAGTGGCTCACTGTAATCTTTTCATTTTTGGTTTTTGTTCTACTTTGGATTTTATTTAAATGGACAGGCAGTAAATAGGTTTTGGGTTTTATTTTTTTCCTTTTGTCTACTGAATATATTGTTCTTTTGCTTTTTCTAACTTGTATTTTGACTATCCAAATGGACAGTATTTAAAAAAAATTTATTTATTTATATTAAATTGACAAATAATAATTCTGTATAACATGGGGTGATATTTTGATCTATGTATACAACATAGAAAAATTTAATCAATCTAATTGCATATCCATCATCTCACTAACTTACTTCTTTGTGGGAAGAATGTTAAAATCTATTATTTTTAAATATGCAATACATTATTAACCATGGTCACCATACAGTACAACAGATCCCTAAAATTTATTCCTCTATTCTAACTGAGATTCTGATAAACAACAACTAAGCTCCTTGCTGTCTAACATTTGTATCTCCAAAAATGGTCACAGGTCCAGGTGATTGGTGAAGCCCAAAGTAAAGATGATGGCACCAAAAATGGTGTAGAGTATTAGAAGGTCTTGGGTGGAACACTCACAAACACTATAGACTCATCTCTCATGACTGAGCGTCCCCACATCAATTTTAATTTTCTTTGCTCTTTGATAGTTCTAACACTGGCTTGGTTCCACCAGACTGTTGGAGAATGATAAAGAAAATATGAGTCTTATTATCTGGGGCTTTATCTTCTCTGATCCTCATTCTTGCCAATCACTTCCAATCTTTGGTAGAAACTTAGCTGTTTTCTACTGTCTTCTCAGGGAAAGAAGCTTACAACTCACTCCTATTCATTCTCACTCCTTATGCAAGAAGGAGCAATTCAGAAAATAATAAGAAAATTATACTTTTTAAAATAATATTTACATTGAAATGTGTGTTTTCTCCCTAATATTTAGTTGTTCTATTTTATGGATAGAAAAATGGTCTATAAGGGAGACTTACTACATAGCAACTATCTACTTATGCAAACCAATAGCCTTTATTTAATAGGTTCTCCACTGAAGCTAGCAAATACAGTCTAGCTTGGTTTCCATTCCCTTGTATAGCAGGTCAACTCTACTTTTAAAAAAAATCTTTTGTTTTCCTTTTTTTTTTTTTAATTTTGAGACACAGTCTTGCAGTATAGCTCAAGCTGACTTGAAAACCCCTATGTTGCTGGGATTGCAGGCATGTATCACCATGCCTGGATTTTCCTTTTTACATTTAAAAACTGGAGATGTAGTTAAGTGGTTTACCATATGTCTAGCATGCACAAGGCTCTGGGTTTGATCCCCAGTACTGTAAATTTTTTTTTAAAACCTGGTTTGTTGGACAGAGTCTCTTCCTCTACATGAGGTCCAAATGACAGTTTACAGTTTAGTTAACTATTCATACTCACCCTCCTGTCCCATTGTGCTGGGAAGACATTAAATGACATATTTCACAAATTTTATTGAGTTCCTACACTATGTCAGCCACTGTGGTAGTGAAGAAGAGTGCACACAAGCTTTGAAGTTTACTGGAAGGTATTAATGTCAACACTAAGCAGTGTTTATCAAGTGTCTGTGTGTGTAAATACAAATTCAGGCTCACAAACTTTTTTCACATAAAATATGGAGTCTATTAACAAATCAGGATGAATTTCTAATAAGAGACAAAAAATGGCCAAATACATACTTTATGCAAGGATTTTAAGCTTTTAATTAAAAGTACAAATGGCATAAACATTAAGTGGTTATTTCTAGCCTTTCCATTAATAGTCAATAAAAATTGTAGGGAATTCCTTAAAGGTTCTATACTTACTCATCTCTGCAAACAGCTGTCTTCTTTCTGCCATGGTATTTCCTCTTTTCCCACTATCTTCAATCATTCTATGAGACAAAATTATTATAATGTGTATTATCTTCACATTATTACAGCCTTTTCTATGCAAACACATTTACTGAATATGTGCCATAAATATAGAGAATAATTGTTTGCTTAAAAAGTACTGTTTTACTTTCAGCAATCTAAGTTGCCCTACAAATTTTCCTATCTGTGATGTAGCAGTTGAATGGGATATAAAATTTTTATTTTTCTAACATAAAAATTGCTACAATAGCAGATGACCTTATGTTGTAACTAAGTACTGTGAGGTGATTTATCGTATAGAAAGTGTCTCTTTCAATTTTAGGAAAACCTAGAAAGACTGTATGAATGGATTCCATTCAACAGATGACAAGAATGAGAGTCTTATGAAAGTCACAGACTGGTGGCTTCTAGGACTCCAGGACCAGTCTGTCTTCTGCCTCATTCTTCTGGCACTTTTCCTTTGTGTACTCACACCTCAATTTAGAAATTAGGTAATTTCTTATTATTTGATTTTAAGTTGAGTGTTCAGAACTTACAACAATTTTTCCATACATAATAATTTCACACCATATGGATGGGTTCACAACTTTCTCCTCAGTCATACCGTTATCTGTGGTGGAACTATTTTAAAATACTATTAAAATGCAAAATTAAAAATAGAGAATAAAACAAGATACAAAAAGATTACAATTTACCTTGAGGAAAAAGAAAATAATGATAAAGTTAATGAAAATGTTTTTTACTATGTAGATGACTCTGGGTTAAATATCTAGGGTTTCCTGGGTTGATGGCAATGACTTTTTTATTGTATCTAATTAATCTTTTTTTTTCCAACTCAATATTGAACCCAGAGCATTGTGTATGCTAGGCAAGTGCTCTGCCATTGAGATATACCCTTAGCCATTTACATTTTATTTTGAGACAGGGTCTCACTGACTTGCCCAGGCTAGTCTCAAATTTGTAATCCAACTTCTTCAGCCTCCCAAGTAGCTGGGATTATAGGCATGCACCTCCACGTCAGGGTAAGACTCTAATTAGACTTTTAATGACTAAAGTTTATACACACACACACACACACACACACAGCACTGTAACTTCCATTTCGACTCTCAGGCATGATTAACTAAGGCATAGCTGCATGGGACTTTTTGACTGTTTTCTGATGACCCCTGAACTGTCTATACCTAGCTAACTTGTGTCACCCTTCAGATCTTAGGTTACAAATGCCTTAATCTGAAATCTTCCCCAACTCTGTGGTTGCTTGGATTTGGTACCTTTCTTCTGAGCCTCCACATTGGCCACAGTGCCTTTCTCCTGATGCTGGGCACTCACAGATCTTTTCTGTGTGCCCTCTATCCTCCAGGAAGAGCACTAAGATCAGGGTGTACCAGGTATCAAGTCACAGTTCCTGCCTTCAATATGTTTACACTGTAGTAGACAAGATATGAGAATGTGCAAGCAACTTATACATGAGGAGCTAGTTACAGCCATACAAGTAGAAAGAAAGATGTGAATGAGAGGCTTATTCCCTATGGATGAATTTAAGGGAACTCACAGAAGTCTGCTTAAAAGGTAATGGGCTATGTATAAAATGACTTGCCCACAGGGAAAAGTTAGTGGTAAAAATGATATTGGTCAACATCAATAGCTACAGCAAGGTAACAGGATATAAAATCAACATAGAAAAATCATTAGCATTTCTATACACTAATAATGAACAAACTGAAAAAGAATACATGAAAACAATTCCCTTTACAATAGCCTCAAAAAAAATATCAAATACCTAGGTGTAAACCTAACAAAAGATGTGAAAGACCTCTACAAGGAAAACTATAAACTTCTGAAGAAAGAGACTAAGGAAGACTATAGAAAGTGGAGAGATCTCCCATGCTCATCGATTGGTGAGATCAACACATTTAGTAAAAATGTCTATACTCCCAAAAGTAATCTACATGTTTAATGCAATTCCCATCAAAATTCCAATGACATTCATTACAGAGATTGAAAAATCCACCATTAAATTTACATGGAAACACAAGAGGCCATGAATAGCCAAGGCAATACTCAGTCAAAAGAACAATGCAGGAGGTATCACAATACCTGACTTCAAACTATATTACAAAGCAATAACAATAAAAACAGCATGGTACTGGCACAAAAACAGACATGAAGACCAGTGGAACAGAATAGAGGACCCAGATATGAAGCCACAATATAACCAACTTGTCTTTGACAAAGGAGCTAAAAATATACCATGGAGAAAAGACAGCCTCTTCAAACAAAAACTGCTGGGAAAACTGGTTAGCAGTCTTGCAAAAAACTGAAACTTAGATCCATGTATATCACCCTATACCAAATTATTACTCAAAATGGATCAAGGATCTTAATATCAGACCACAACTCTAAAGTTTGGTATAGGAAGAGTACGGAAATACTCTGGAGTTAGTAGGTATAGGTAAAGGAATTTCTCAATGGAACCCGCAGCAGCAAAAGCAACTAAGAGATAGCATAGATAAATGGGACTCATAAAACTAAAAAGCTTCTGCTCAACAAAAGAAATAGTCTCTAAACTGAAGAGAACAACCGCACAGAGTGGGGAAATATTTGCCAGCTACACATCAGACAAAGGACTGATAACCAGAATATATAGGGAACTTAAAAAAGCTAAATTCTCGGCCAAAACTAATGAACCAATAAAGAAATGGGCAAGTGAACTAAACAGAAACTTTCTCAAAGAAGAAAATTCAAATGGCCAAAAAAACACATGAAAAAATGCTCACTATCTCCTAGCAATAAAGGAAAAGTGCAAATGAAAAACCACATAAGATTCCACCTCACCCCTGTTTAGAATAGCCATCATTAACAACACCCCAACAACAGGTGTTGGTGAGGAGCAGGGAAAAAGCGAACCCTCTTACACTATTGGTTGAATGTAAACTAGTACAACCACGCTGGAAAAAAAATTTGGAGGCTACTTAAAAAGCTAGACATTTGATCTAGCCATTTGATCCAGCAATCCCACCACTTCTTGGGATATACCCAAAAGACTGTGACACAGGTTACTTAGAGGCACCATGCACACCCATGTTTACTGCAGCGCTATTCACAATAGCCAAGTTATGGAAACAGCCAAGATGCCCCACCACTGACGAATGGATCAAGAAAATGTGGTATCTATGCACAATGGAATTTTATGAAACATGAAGAAGAACAAAATGTTATCATTTAGCTGGTAAATGGATGGAATGGGAGAACATTCATTCTGAGTGAGGTTAGCCTGGCCCAAAAGACCAGAAATTGTATGTTCTTCCCTCATAGGCTACGCGTCGCGGACCACTTAGATCAAGGGCAAAACACAACAAGGGGATTGAAACTTTGATCATAAATAAAAGCGAGAGCCCACAAAGAGAGATATGAGGATGGGTAAGACACCTAAAAAATTAGCTAGCATTTTGTTGTCCTCAATGCAGAGAAACTAAAAGCAGATACCTTAAAAGCAACTTTAGGCCAAATAGGAGAAGGGGACCAGGAACTAGAGAAAAGGTTTAGATCAGGGGACAAGAAACCTTAAAAGTCTAGAACGGTAACACATCTACGCACAGGAAAATTAATGTGAGTCAACGGCTCCCTGTATAGCTATCCTTATCTGGACTGCAAAAACGCTGCTGTCTCCTTACCTATTACTTGGCTTATACTCTCTCTTTTTCTACAAAGATTCAGAAGATGAAGGGCAAAAATAAGTTTCCTGCTGGGTTGATATTGAAGGGGGTGGGCGCGAAAGGAATGGGTGGGGTGGGGGAGGTTGGGGTTGTAAGAAAGGGTTCAGGGGTAGGGGGGAGAAATGACCCAAGCATTGTATGCACATATGAATAATAAAAAAATTTTTAAAAATGATATTGGTGAAAATAGTCAAATAGCATTTGTCAGATGCTGCTGTGAATGAAGGATAGCTGCCCTTTCCAGGAAAGGACAAAAGGCGCCCTAGGGAAAAGTCTTGGTTCCCAGTCCTTATGGGGAGCGGACACGTGCATATTCCCAGCTGGTTAATTATTATATACCAAGGGTCTTTAGGGCCTAAAGTGAGCGGAATTGAAAGGGAGTGGAAAGTTTGTTTAATGATGCTTCTTCAATTTGGTAACCATTTACTGTCGATATGATCTAAGACTTTCTTACTTGTAAGGATTTTGAAAGTGGGGTGTGTGAGGTGATACCGTGTCGACATAGAGTAGAGATGGAGAAACGTGTCCGGCTTCACTCTGATTCACATCACTCCATCTCTTTCACTCCAGGGGAAGAGGGCAGATGATCACCTGACATCCTCAAGGTAGTCTGAATGTAGCTGTTAGTTTTTCTTTCAAGGGTCCAGAAGTAGAATGCAGGCAGTGAGAGAGATAGGAAATAGAGCCAATGATGTGTTGCTGTGTCTGTACGGAGTGGGGTGAAAAGAACCACTAGAATAAATCACAAAGGATGGCAGGCTGGGGCTCTGACTGGGCATGTCAGTGAGGTGAAGACTGGCATCTAAGGTCATAACACCATCATCCGGATTACTTACATGCACTCCAGCTCCATCCTGTTTCCTGATTAACTTTTTGTATGTCTCTGAAGGCATCTGAGGGTAGAAACCTCACTACTTTTAAATTCTTCACAGTCACGCAAAATCCAACCAACAACTGGGGTGGCTAATTAGTATTTACTGAACACTTGAATAAAAGAGGGGAGTAAAAAAAGAAGAAAAGAGAGCGGTAAGAAAAATGAAAGCTAAATTCTTTTTCCATGAGATGGACAATCATATTTCTAAAGTCTGACTCATAGAAAAATGAAATCTGAGTTGGACTAGTTTCAGAGATTAATTATTTGGAATAAGACAAACTAATTTATGTTTATTATAATGTAGGATTATACATTTTAAGGAGAATCATGTCTTGTGAAATAGAAGTAGTTGAAAGGATACAAAGCACATGGATGTCAACTTTTGGTCTATTTACCACCAGTTTTTGGTTAATTAACTCATAAAAGA